AGGTGGGCAGATCACAAGGTCAGGAGTTTGAGACCAGTGTGACCAACATGGTGAAACCCTATCTCTACCAAAAATACAAAAACCAGGCGTGGTGGCGGGGGAAGTATCTCTCTTATGGAGAGATACTTTATGTAAATATCCTGTTTCTCTTAATATTTTCACTACTTAATTGTGGCATCCATTGGTGATTCTTGCTTGAAACAATTATACAGTTGTCAAGTGGTGATTTTTTTTTTTTTTTTTTTTTGAGACAGAGTCTTGCGCTGTCACCCCAGGCTGAAGTGCAACGGCACGATCTCTGCTCACTGCAACCTCAGTCTCCTGGGCTCAAGTGATTCTCCTGCCTCAGCCCCCAAGTAGCTGGGATTGCAGACATGTATCACCATGCCCAGCTAATTTTTGTATTTTTAGTAGAGACAGGGTTTTGTCATGTTGACCAGGCTGGTCTCTAATTCTTGGCCTCAAGTGATCCACCCACCTTGACCTCCAAAAGTGTCAGGATTACAGGCATGAGCTACTGCACCCAGCCTGATTTTCTAATTCTATCATTTCTCCTACATTTGTAAGTTAGAATTCTACCATAGCAGTAATTCAATTTTTAAATGAGCATTTTCTTTTTTACTGTGGTTTCTAATTTTAAAACTTTGTAAACATCTCACTATTTCTACTTTAGGGATATACATATTTATTTTCTTTTCTTTTTATTTTTTATTTTGATACATGGTTTCACTCTGTCACCCAGGCTAGAGTGCAGTGGCGTGGTTTCAGCTCACTACAACCTCTGCCTCTGGGCTCAAGCCATCCTCCCACGTAGGCCTCCCAAGTAGCTGGGACCACAAGCTCAAGGCACCATGTCCAGCTAATTTTTGCGTGTTTTTTTTTTGTTGTTGTTGTTGTTGTTGTTTTTTGTTTTTTGCTTTTAGGTAGCAATGGGATTTTGCCACCTTCCCCAGGCTGCTCTTGAACTCCTGAGCTCAGCTCAAGTGATCTGTCATCTTGGCCTCCGAGAGTGCTGAGACTACAGACATGAGCCACCGGGCCCAGCCAGGCATGTACATTTCTCATGCTCTGTGGACCTGATGAATTACTTATTTCCCACTGCAGAGCCCTTGTGGCCTTTCCTTTATAGGCTGGTTGTTTAGGTGAACATTCAGTATAGTCTCATCTGGGAAAGTCCTGTCAAGTCCCATAGGACTGTAAGAGTTCTGGAAAGAACTTTGGAACCAGAGAAACCTGTACCCAAATAATTGATTCAGCCTCTTCTTTCCCAAGCAACCTTAAGCAAATTATTGAACCTCTCACAATCTCACTTTTTTTTTTTTTTTTTTTCAGACAGTCTTGTTCTGTTGACCAGGCTGGAGTGCGATGGTGCGAACTCAGCTCACTGCAACCCCTGCTTCTGGGTTCAAGCAATTCTCCTGTCGCAGCCTTCTGAGTAGCTGTGATTACAGGCACACTCCACTGTGCCCCACTAATTTTTGCATTTTTATATCAACGGGGTTTCACCATATTGGTCAGGTGTGACCTGACCTCACATGACCCAGCCGCCTCGGCCTCCCAAAGTGCTGGGATCACAGGCATGAGCCAATGGGGCCAGCCTCACAGTCTCACTTTTACTCCTGTCTGCTGAGGGCAAGAACCATGTCTTTATTCCACTTGAGAAGTCTAGTTCTGTGCATTCACAAGACAACCTGTAGCTAGTGTCTGTTGAACTGCATTGTATCTCTATGCCATTGTTAGTCCATTTTCTCTTTTTTATTTATTTAAAGTATTTAATCTGTTTTCCAGTATTTTTAATGATTTTTCTAAATTCCTTTTGGGACCATTCAGGTTTTGGGTTACACCTATCTTCCTAACTTTAAACTTTCCTATTTTTGTATAGATATATTTCCCTCTGGCTTTGTTTCTCATCCTGGGCAGTTCCACATAGATATTTATAAAGATTTTTCAGATTTCTTTCTGGCTACTTCTTGTTTTGCATTTCAATTTTTTCTTCATTAAACTTATAGTTTGTTGTCATTTTTTTTTCTGAAATTAATACTGCTCTAAGAGCCATGGAAGGACAAGGAGAAGTTTCATTTCTGTTTGTAGAGTAGTCAGCCTGGATATTTTCCTCTCCTCACCACAGTGCCAAATTTAACTATTTTTTGTTGTTCTTTTTTGTTTTTGTTTTGTTTTCTTTTTCCTACAACCTCCACTTCCCAGGTTCAAACAATTTTCCTGTCTCAGCTTCCTGAATAGGTGGGACTACAGGTGCATGCCACCACGCTGGGCTAATTTTTGTATTTTTGGTAGAGATGGAGTTTCACCATATTGAGCAGGCTGGTCTTGAACTCCTGGCCTCAGGTGATCCACCCGCCTCAGCCTCCCAAAGTGTTGTGATTATAGGCATGAGTCACCACACCCAGCCTTAACTTTTGTTGTCATTACATGAAGGCTGAATCAAAAATTTCTTTTGTCCTCCAATTTCTACTCATTACTTAAATTTGAAGAGTATACCTAAAGTTATTTATCAGCAAAAGTAGAACTGGGAGCATGATTCCTGATCTCCAAGCTTAGGAGTTGACTAGTCAATGCTTTCTTTGGTGAAATGTCCATGTCAGTCTTCCGGATATAAAACAGGAAAGCCTGGGTAACAGAGGTAGGTGTAAGATGTCTTGAGTCACATTCCTAGCTCCTCCCTGCTCTGATTTCAGCCACAGCAGTAGCCACAGTTCTGTGCAGGCTCAGATTTATGCTGCCGATATCCCACCCTAAGAGGAAACCTACAGACGCTGCTTTTTTTTTTTTTTTTAATTTTTTTGAGACGGAGTTTTGCCCTTGTTGCCCAGTCTAGAGTGCAATGGCACAATCTCGGCTCACTGCAACCTCTGCCTCCCCAGTTCAAGCAATTCTCCTGCCTCAGCCTCCCAAGTAGCTGGGATTTCAGGCAGGTGCCACCACGCTGGCCATTTTTTTTTTTGTACTTTTAGCATAGATGGGGTTTCACCATGCAGGCCAGTCTGAAACCCCTGACCTCAGGTAATCCACACGCCTAGGCCTCCCAAAGTGCTGGTATTACAGGTGTGAGCCACTGTGCCTGGCTGACTCTGCTTTTTTATATCAGGTTAAGGAAGCCCGTTCCGTTCTGTGCACAAATGTAATCCAGAAGGGTAGAAAGTTAATAGCTGTAGGGAAATCCTCAACCAGTACAGGATGGTAGTGGTGAATGAATGCCATAGCTTCAAGATGGACAATCCAGAAAGGTATTCTGTATGTTTTTCAGAGGTGCTTGAGGAATAAACGGTCGCCTCAATAATGGACAATTAAATTGAACATTTCTTCTTTCTTTTCTCACTCTCCTTGACCTATCAATTTTGTTCCCTGAAAGCACTTCCCAATAAAATACCTGCACCCAAATCTTTGTCCCAGTCTCAAACTAAGCCAAAAATTCATTCAACAAATATTTACTAAGTGACTGTGCTAGGCACTGAGATAGAAAACCTAGAAGATAAAATTTCTAGTGCCTGTCCTGAAGTGTATAGTGAGACAAACAAGGAAACAACAACAACAAAACTACTCTACAATTAAAGTGAAGTATGAAGGCATGGGGAGAAGGGTCATCTAACCCATGCCTGAGGGAGGCAATTCCTGGAGGATATGCTGCTTGAGCTAATGGACAGAGTGTGGATCAAATACAGTTATAATGACTCTATATGCTACGTATTCGGGTTATGCTCTGCCCCATTGCAGTATACAGTACATGATGTGATTTTAGGTGGTCCATGGATGGAAATTTAAACTTCTTGTAGTTAATGTGTACTAGAATAAAAATAAGGAACACAACAAACTTGATTTCACAGAGTATTATGGTTTAGGATAAAGCCAGAATTTTTTAATGAGTTGAAATAGGCTTTAAATAAAAATACTGAATGAATAATAATACCTAGGTACAGATTGGCAAAGATTGTGTAGGTGGTGTGCAGATTACCCAAGTTTCGGAAATAGTATTATAGCAGAAGGAGTACCTACCTAAAATAAAATTCCTGCCTTCCAGGAACTCAACAGCTTGTTAAGGAACACAGACCCATAAGCAGAGATGATAAATACTACACTAAATTTGGAAACCAGGTACAGGAGGAAGACAGGGAAACAGTGAGGAGCAAAGTGAAGGAGAGGCTACCAGCTACAAGACCAGTTGGAAGACTATTGCTCTAGTCCAGGGGAGAGGTTACAACTGCCTGATTTAGGGTGTGGCTATAGAAATGGAAGGAACCTTGCGACCATACTGTGAAAACCTTGCTGGTTGCAAGCAGTATGAAGGTGAAACCTGTCCAACCAAGTCAAGGGCAGTGTTGCACACACACACCATGGAGCAGGACAGCTGAATTAATCAACTATAATTAGAGCGTACTTTTATTTGGCTTCGTTATCAGAGAGTTTTGGTGTGAAATATTCGGATATTTGCCCCCATTTTTCCCACTTGACTCAGAAGCTGGAGAAGCACTAACACATATGTATCGCTTCCTATGTTCTAGGCTTTTTCTGAGCGCTTTACGTTTATGGACTCCTCTATCCTCATTAACCTTTATTTTACAAATGAGGAAACTCGAACAGAAGGTTAGATAACTTGCCCAGGGTAAGGCAGCTGATAAGTGAAGTAGCTAGGAAGAAGCCCAAGCATTCTGGCTATTCTTAACACTACACCAGAATAAACGGGGCCGGCACACAACGCTAAGGCAAGTCCCACTTCTGCATTGGATTGTGAAACAATCACGCTTAACGGTTGGCAAAAGACCTGGTTCTGGGATCGCAATTTCCCCACCTATAAAATGGAGATAACGACGCCGGGAGTTTGGTGCAGAATGAGATAATAATATGAAAGTGAACTTCAAACTATGTATGTGGCTCCACGTACTGCTTTTTCCGAATATGAATACGCGAACCCACTAACTACAATTTATCAGTCGGTAGAGCTTGTAGCGCCAGAACGAGACTCCGCCTCTGGAGCCCCGCGAGCTGCAGGTGGGGCCGGCAGATCTTCTTTGCGCATGCGGAAGCCGCTGCCCGCTCCCACCTCTAACCCAGGCTCAGAGTAGCTGCTGTTTCTGAGAGAACGATTCGTAGGACGGCCCCTGACGCGGTTCCCTTTTGCTTTTCTTTCTGCGGACCTTTCCGGTACTTGAGCGGTGTCGAGAGCTAGGCCCGTTCTCGTCGTTCTGACTGCCTTTCGGAAGAGGTGCCTGTCGTTGGCCAATAGTTGGCTGTCGAAAGTGCCGGCCCCCGCGCCGGCGCCGGCAGCAGCCGGGTGGGAAGGCTCAAGATGGCGTGCCTGCTGGAGACCCCAATCCGCATGAGCGTCCTTTCGGTGAGTGACCCGCCGCAGCCGCCCGCCCGCCCTCCAGGGAGCCCCATCCCGGTGTCCACCATTCTCCCAAGCGTGGTGTGTCTCCTGGGCACCACCCCCTGGAGTGGCCCCCGGCTCAGTCTTGGGCCAGGGTGTGAGCGAGGGTGGACAGGCGGGATAGACGGGCAGAGGGGACCCCGGCGGAGTCAAAGACGTTTCCAACTCTGGGAGCTCCCGCCAGTGCGGGTTCCCAGGATGGCGTCTGGCAGGCGGGGTGATTGGGCTTACAGACAACTGGCCGGGCAGCGCGGCTTGGACTTTGCCAAGCGTTTCACTGAGCCTTCCTCTTAGTGATGCAGCTTCCCGGGGGCCGACCGCTCTGCCTTGTGAAGCGCCGGGCTTGCAGCCGGCCTGGAAACGAGCGCCAGCTCAGCTCTCCCGGGCATTGGCAAGAAGAGGTGCAGGCTCCTTGGCCCCTATTTCCTCTGAGCTACCAGGCCAGGTCTATGTGGCTTCTATCGCGTCCCAGCACCTGGGCACCGCCTGAAGCTGTTTGCTTTTTGGCAATGGTGATTTCGTATCAGCTGCAACTCTTCCTAGTGTATGTGGTTATTTAAGCCCTTTTTCTCCGCTCTGCTCAGAGGTCGCGGCTCTGAGTCAAAGGAACTGTATGTTCCCTGTGCCTGGTATTCCTTTTTTCTTTAAGGGGAGTCAGACATTGAAGGGGGGAAAAAGGGGTGAGATTTCCCCATTGTTGAAAGAAGGGAACGTGTTGACATGCCAGGAAGTAAAACCTGTTTTTTTTTTTTTTTTTTTTTTTTT